AAAAAAAAAAAAAAAAAAAAAAAAAAAAAAAAAAGAGCTATCCAACTCTTCCAGAATAAAACACCCTCATGGCCGCCTATGTCCCGCTCAATTCGGCGCAACACCGCTGCAGGGTTGCAGCCTCGCGCGCTTTCCGGAGGGCTCGTTCCCGCACTGCACCTCGTTGCGGAAGTCCGCATTGTACTGCATCAGCATCCTCTGCAAGTGCATCTCGCGCGACACGATGGTCTGGTTGTAGTAGAGCTTCCCGAATAGCAGCTTCTTGCTCGTGCACCCCTGTAGGGACTTCCTAATATCGGAGATATACTTGCCGATCGACTCACCTCCCCCATGTTCGCTCGTCTCTCCCGCCTCGTCTACCTCATCATCCGAGACGTTGTCGCACATTTCTGTGTAGTTCAGCAGGGCAGACACATTGGGGGGTTTCAGAATTTTAAGAAACGAGCAGAAGGTGTTCACGGCGATGATGAACTTGAGATAATACTCCTGCAAAATCTGCGTGCAGAGAGGGGGGCCAGATGACAGTGGTGTACCTTCCGCGATGCCGTCTACCTTGACATTCACGAAGAGAATGAATAAGGTGTACAGGTCAACCGTCTTGTTGCAACGCTCGTAAATCCTGTACACGTTAATCAAGTCCTCCAGCGTGGCCACATTGTCGTAGTAGGGGTTCAGGTACACCTTGCCGTCACCCACTATGTTAGTGTTCATATCAGAGTTGGTAGTATTCTCCGGGAAGGAACAGCAAGAGCAGATGAGGCTCCCCGTCTTGTATGGATTCGTGTAGCATAGGGTTTGAAGAACTTCTGTCTTTATGTCCCTAGTGATGAGACATGCAAACTCTTTATCCGGCTTGTGCATTACCATTTCGTATGCCAAAGGGTGACAATACATTGGAGGTAGGAGAAGCATATTAAGGTATTCATGTAAAAATAGGTTAATCGAATTTGAGATGTCTTCTACATTTACTCTCCTCTCTGTTTGATCTTTCAATCTTCTCCTTAGGCTGCTGTTTTGGATGGTCAGATATCTCTTGTAGGCTTTTTTTTTTTCTTTCTCCTTCTCAGGCAAAACCTTTTGCCGGTGCCCCATCAAGGGGGGGGAGTACTGTTCCCCATCAACATCACCCCCACAAGTAGTAGTGCTACCTCCTTCACTGTTAACGCGCTGTTGATTTAAGAGGGTTCGTATCATTTCAATCAAATCGTCCAGCTTAAATAATAAGGAGTAGTACACAGAAAAGGAAAAGGAGTACTTGCTCGAGGAACACTTGGCGAAATCATCATTGGTAAAGAGATCCTTCTCCTTTTCTTTCTCTTTCTCCTTCAGCAAAAATAAATAATCCTCCAAGTTATACACAAGAGCATATACCCTCGTGTAGTAATTCTTAAACTCCTTGAGAATGTGTAGTAGCACTTCTTGGTTCTTAAAACAGTATGGAGTCACAATATCGATTAAAAAAGTTATACATTTCTTTACATCACTCTCCACTACCTTATATATTTCTTCTATGTACAGGATGCTCCTATTATCTTTCCATTTTGTCTGTTCAAAGTTGAGAAAAAGCCTCCTGAAATAATCTACTCGTTTTATTGAATTGCTGTATTCCGTTTTACACTTAATAATGGTGTCGATCAGATTGACTGCGATGTTAAAAGCGTATTTCCTTTCTATGAGCTGAAGGATAGCCCTAGGTAAGGCCATGTCACAGAGGTATTTGTTAATCTCCTGCACACTGTCCACGTCGTGAAGATTTTTCATATTCTTCTCTTCTGTACTGTCCAGCAGTGCATCTATTTCTGTCTTTATACTACTTTTTAATTTTTCATTTTGGTATGAGTAGACTAAATCCTTGAAGGGGTGATCAAACCACCAATTTATTGTATTCGCTTTAAATTGCCATGCGAGTAAGCTTCTGTCCAGGACTTTTTTTTTCCTTTTCTCCATCGCGGGAGCACTAGAATCGTTCCCTTCCGCTGAGGCAAATTTTGATTCCTCCAAAGTGTTGTCATTCTCCCACTTGGTTTTATTTTCGCCTGCATCTTGATGAGCGCTGGAGGGGTCCTCCTCCTCCTCTTTTCCTTCCACGGAGGAGACTTTAACCGTTACACTGTTCCTCTTCCTCTTATCATTTTCATTATTAGGCTCATTATTAGGCTGCTTATTAGCCTGATTAGCGCGAGCAACGCTGCCCCGTTTGGCCCTCCTCTTGAGCGTGAAGCCATCCACGTCCATGTCGGAATTGTCCGGAGTGTGTACTATCGAGTCCTTCCCATGCAGTGTGAAATAATTTTGCACCAGGATGGAAGAGTACTTTCGCTTCAGGAAGGACAAGTGGGCATAGTATATGTTGGCCGAGTAGCAGAGGCAGATTATCTTCCTGTGCAATGCCCTCATGTCAAATTTGGAGTAATCGCTGAAGGACTTTTGATTGGATCGAACGAAGGTGTACGGGGAGTACTCCGTGGCGGGTTCGCCTCCACCGAGGTTGCTCTGGAAGAAGTCACTGCCGAAACCACCCCCCAAGTAGTACTCAATGGGGAGGGACAAAAAGGAAAACAAATTATTATCATAAAACTCCTTCGTCAGCACGTATAGAATATGAACCAAGTGGCTAATCGACTGATTGTTCTTGTGTAGCAAAATCTTTATCGCATGCATTGTTCGAAAGTTTATTATAAATGGCAAGGTGTCTCCAAACAGCAGATCATCACACACCCTCTCGCAAATTACCTTATTATTTAAAATGTCAATTGTCTTAATACGCAGCTTACTCTGTGTGTTTGGAGTTGTTATTCGGCTGAAGAAGAAGGAGGGAGTCGACACACCCAGAATAACACTAAGGCACAATTTGTTCTCTGTCCGTAAATTTATTAAAACATTTAAAATTCCATTGAGTACATTTATATTGAAATATTCGCAGTCGTGTATGAGAATGATGACTCTAACTTTTTTCCTCCCATCTTCGAAGTAATCATTTTGTTTACTATATAATTCAATGTCTGCATGCGTTTGAAAAAAATCCTCATTTTCCTCCCCCATTTCTTTGTATAGATCTGAAATGTCCATCGTCGACTGAGCAATATTCTTCCCCTCGTTTTTCCCTCCTTCCTTTTTTTTATCCATTTCACTCATCTGCCTATACAGATCGATCAGCTTGTCTATGCTCACCATATTTTTACTCACTTTGTAATAATTCGAGTGCCCCTCTCCTCCATTGGGTATAAATGGACAGGATGAAATATCCCTCCTCTTTCCTTTTGCAGGACTAACCTCCGAATCGTTACTACCCATCCTTCTTGGACTCACTCGAACTTCACCAAGGTAATCATCCCTGTCTCCATTCACACCTCTCTTCCTTTTGTACTTCGCCAAAAAAGCCCTCGTCTTATACTCCCTGTACAGCTGACCGTATATATTGTAGACAGCTGCATTCACATTATTTGATGTGCTTGAATTGAGGGAGCAAAGGTACACATCGTTCTCATCAGGCGATTCGAATTGGCTCATAGTCACCTCGTTAAAGGTTCCATTTAGACGTCTTTTCTTTTCTCTACTTTGTCCTTCTACGCTCTCCTCTTGCCGCTCATCCTGCCGCTGTCTCTGCTCCTCCTCCGGGGGGGGTGTTGTTGCCCCTCCGCTACTCATGTCCGATTCGCCCCATGCTTCATCTACCTTTCTGAGAGACTTCAAAATGTTCAACCCAGTGTGGGGAACGGCTGGAGTGTTAGAAGTAGCCCCGACAGAGGTATGGACGCTTTCCCCGTTAAGGGTTGTTCCTCTGTGAATTCCTCCTCCTCCCTCCCGTCTACCCCCCTTGTTGTAATTCCATTTCTTCAACTCGTAAGAAAGCGCATCGATGATTATCTCATGGTCAGCTACATTCGTCCCCGCCGTCATCAAAATGAGCGGCAGATACTCATGGTTCGAAACTGAGTAGGAATATATTTCCTCAAATACATTACTCAAATTTTTCGAGATCTGAATATCTATTTCTTTTTGTATTTTATCAATAATGCATGACCATGTCAGGCGAAAAGCTTTGTTCCTAAGCAAGAAGCTATTTATTTCGCTCTCGTTCAATAGGTTGATGTTGTTCTTCCCGGATTGCTCACTCTGCCTACTTTTGTAATTTCCTAATAGGGGTAATACTACTGGGTTGTATTTATTAAAAATATTTCTTCTCCTATCATTGAGGGTATTCTTTGTCTTCTTTCTGTTGCTACTTTCTAAATATTCTTTGTTGGCTTTCTTTAGGATGAACCCTCTTCCCTTGTACACTGTGTTTCTGCGTTCATTATTCATTTTATGCCTCCAGTGCGCAATTTTTTTTTGGGGGGGGGACAGGAATTATGTCGTCCACCTGTCCTCAGTATCTTTTCCACACGTCTGCTTCGTCCACCCACGTCAAACTCTTCCCTTCGATAGTCTTCTTCCTTTTGCTTCGTTTAGCTACGCCAGCTGAAGTTGCTCTTTTAGCGTAGCTCCTCGCGAAATGTAAAAAGCGCCTAAAGGAGAGGTGGGGCCACTTACCTCTTAGCCGTTCCTTCAATCTGGGCGGTTGTAAAATGGAGCAGGAAAAAAAAAAAAAAATACCTGCAAATTGAGGAATCACCCTGTGGTACAGCTGTCCAAATGGTTAGGTGAACACAAAAATGGATGCGTAATTTGGTACTCCACTTCGTAGTAGTGAGCTCTACTGCGCATAAGCACATACAAATGGGTGCTAAACACGTGGAGAAATTAGCACATGAAGTGTCCCTCTAGCGGCAGTCGAACAGAACCCCCTCCTCTATGGCTTCATCGATTTGCCCGCACGCACTCGCGAACAATGCTAATCTGAAACAATTGGTGATGTCTTTCTCGTAGTGGCAAGACGAGGTCTTCTTTTATCACTCACAAATGCAAACGGAAAAATTTACGAGCGTGGACAGAGGGCTACTCGTCCAAAGACACGCACACATACACACACGTATAGCACAGCACGGCTCGCGTCAAAATGGGCACAAAAAAAAAAAAAAAAAAATTACACAATGGACGCTGTGCTTTTTCTCCACGCTGAGACGCGATGTTAAAAAATTCACACACGCGTAGGCGGGATTGCAAAAAAAAAAGAACAAAAACACGTCCTTGCTGTCTCGCACTAGCGCAAGAGATTCGCTTTTTACGTTCCTATGTATTGCCCTCAACTTGAGTTAATTAAAAAAGTTGCCATAAACTAGTAAAGTAGAATAAAGCCATAAGACGTCTCTCTCCTTTTGTGTTATTTATTTATTTATTTATTTTTTTTATTAATTTTACTTTGTTTTTCTTTTTTTGTATGTTTCGTTTTCTTTTTTTTTATTAGTTTTGTTTTTCTCTTTTTTTATGGGCTTTACTTCATCTCACTGCAAGTGCAAACACAATACGACGGTGCGACTGGTGTAGGAACGCGCTACATGCAAAATGCGCCTGTGCGAAAAAACAAGGACAAAATTTTAAATCATATATCTTAATAAAAAAAAAGGGAAAAAAAGATGGAGCGGTAAAAAAAAAAAAAAAAAAAGAAAAAAAAGAGGTACGTATGCACACAGTTACATATGGGCAATCCCTTTGCCTGTTTAAAGTGCTTCGTGAATGGAGCATATGTGCCTCGAACGTGCCCAGTGGGGAGCGCGTTCACGGAAACTCGGAAATACATCAGACAAACTCAGGAGTACGTCCAAGCGGACACGGGTCTAACACAAACATCAAAAAATTCCCTTAAGGAAAGAACTAAAAACGGGAAGCATACACAAAAACAAATGGCAACAAATGGCAACAAACGGTAACAAACGGTAACAAACGGTAACAATCACAACAAACACAGCAAACGCAAAAAATGTAACAAGCGCGGGGTCTACAAACGGGAGTGTGGACGAAAACAAAAGTATTCAAATGAGCGTGCCGCAAGAAATGCAGGCGCAAACAAACGAGTACTGAAACAAAGGTGCACACGGAAAAAAATAGAAACAAACGAAGGCAAACAAACAAATACAGACAAACAAACACAGAGACAAACACAGAAACAAATACAGACAAACAAACACAGACAAACACAGATAAACAAACAAAGAAAAATAGACAAAGACAAACACAAACAAACACAACAAACCCAAAGCAATACTTTTAAAGAAGCCTAAGGAGACTCACTTTAAAAGTAAAAAACAAACTCTTAAAAAAATACACACAAAAAAAAGCTTAAAACAAACAAACATATGACAAACAGGGAAAATATATGAATAAATAAAAAAAAAAAAAAAAAAAAAAATAAAAAAAAAAAAAAAAAAAAAAAAAAAAAAATATTAACAAAAAAAAAAATATTAAAAAAAAAAAAAAAAAAAAAAAAAAAAAAAAAAAAAAAAAAAAAAAAAAAAAAAAAAAAAAAAAAAAAAAAAAAAAAAAAAAATATTAACATGTAAGGTAAAAAAAAACAAAAAATTTAAAAAGCTAGAACAAACAAAAAACAACTTAATATGCAATGTAAGAATAAACAAAAAAAAACAAAATTAAAAAGGTTAGAACAAACAAAATAATACAAAACATAAAATACACAAACACATAATCATCATAAACGAAAAATATTTATTACAACTATAATACAAATGAAAAAAAGGGAAAAACAAATACAATACATATACCATACAAATACAATACAAATACAAATGATTTTAAAGACAGAACAAATTTTCACACAAAAAATAAAATATTACAAAAAAAAAAAAAAAAAATATATACAAACGTATATTTGATGCGTTTATTTATGTGTACAAATGCACTTTTGTAAAAAAACGAAAAGGGTTGCGGGTGCCCATATAATTAAGGTCAAAAAATCGGGAAAAACCGTAAAAAAGGGCTAAAAAGGCAAAAAATGCCGAAAAAACAGAACAAAACAGAACAGAACAAAAAAATGCGCACCGATAAAAATGCGTATTTTTAATTTGGCAAGTTGTCTTATCGTATTAGCGATCGGAGCGGGGAGGCCTTTTTTTTTTTTTTTTTTCCCAATTCGCATACATAGGGCTTGATAAACTCTCCTTATAAAATGCAAAATACCAAAAGATGCCTTTTCTAGTTTGTCCTTCCCTAGCAACCTTCCTTTCAGTATTACCCATTCCTGCTTAACTTTACACCTCCATAATTTCAACTGCCAACATTTTGACGCCTTCCATGATTAGCTTTTTTTTATTGCACTTTTTTACAAAAAAAGGCAATGGGAGGCAAACCGTAAAAACACTACGCTTAGATCTGGGCGATCATTTCGGGGGAAATATTGGCCGGATTGAAAAGGGCACACAAATAAATATGTACACAAAAAAAAAGGGGTGGGCATTTACAAACAACTACTGCACGAAGCACGGCGTAAGGTGCGTACATACGTATGCTCATGTACATACGCACACATATTGCGTATTGGCATACTGACTTGCTAAATTGCACTCCTGGAAAAGAGGGAGCTGCCGCACATAGTGAGGGGTTCCATGTTTCCCCCCATTCCCAGCTATTTCGCAATGAAAACGAATTATTTGTAACATTTTTTTGAATGAAAAGCGGGGAAACTCCCCCTTTCAAAAGGTTCATCTGGAATACCCATCGAACATTACAAATAGTTTCCGTGAAACACATAGAAATATTAGCGTGCTTGTCATGTTAATCACATTAGGCGTATTTTTTAAAGGGCAGTAAAGAGACAATTCCGAGCTGGCCTACGGGCATGCACACCTGGCCGTACGCACACACACATATTATATGTATTACATATTTACACACTCGTAACCCTTCGCGCTTCCCCATACACAATAACACATTTTCACACACGCACACGTAAAAAAAGGCCTTCCTCAGAAAATGCCAAACGTTACAAAGGCTGCTATTTGCTTTAATGGCCTTCCATTTTATCGTTTTTCACACAAGCCATCATTCTCGATTTTATTCAAGTGTATTAGGGCAAAAGTGAAAGACAAGAAAATATTTTTGCAACAAATGTGTTCATATTCAGCAAGGGCCATACATAAAACGTTCCTGCTGAGTATATCCCCATTTGGCAAATCGCCGAAAGGCGTAACATATATGTATTTTTAAAAAAGTTAAAGCCGAAATAATGCAAATGAATGCAAAAATATCCAGTCAATGAGCTCGTCAGTGGCCTCTCTTTAATTTGCGTTTTACTTTGGGGCATAACCTGTTGACCCGATTTGTTAAATGGTTAAACATATCCTTGAGATGTATAAAAGGTGAAACAGGCAAATTAGGAGTGAGGTGAATTTTGGCTGAATAAAAAAGCGGGTGCAAGAACAACGCCATGCGGTGGCAAGCAGTCCATGGTATTAGCTTAAAAATGTTTATCATTATTGCCAATCTGTCCAATTTTTTCCGTTACAACCAACAAAGGTGTGCAAATGTATTCGCCACAGAAATGTATATTTTGCACAAACGTACGTATGTGTCACCGCCGAGGTGATAAATGCCACAAACGTATCTCTCGAACTCAGGGCCATTTTGTCGCGTTCGCGAGGTGGTCTTCTTCCTTCACTTTCCAAGCACATTTCTGTGGGAGGCCTTCGTTAGGGTGCTTTAAAGAAGCGGTTCGTAGGGTTGCCGCACAAAATGGTCGCTTAAAATGGCCTCACAAAATGACCGCATAATACGGGAACCTACATATAGGTCAAAAAATTGCGTGCGCATTTGTATGTCCCAATTTTGGGATTGTTTTTTTTTTTGTTTTGGCTAGCCAAAATGTTCAGGTAAAAAACAAAATATATGAACAAAAAAAAAAAAAAAAAAAAAAAAAAAAAAAAA